ATGTTTGGAACGCTTATACCTGGTTTTTCAATTGCAGCGTGTGGGCCCACTGTAATCCATGGTTTATACTACAATTTCTACTTACTGCAATGGAGTATAGTTCAAGTAAGTAGAAGTTTACATAGTCAACGAACATTTTCTTATGTAAGATCAGAAATCAAATTATCTTATATACTATCAAAATAGATTAATTTCTGTTTGTCAATTATAAATCTTTTCCTTACACTTGTTAACACCCTATTGATTCTCTAGTATAGAGCATGCTTCTTCTACAATGTCAAAAGAATGTCTAATGAGATTTAATTTAAGGTGACTTATCTGTTATGAATTTTTAATGGAATCTTTTTTTATTTACTCATTAGCGAAAAAAGAACTGTGGAAATGTGTATTTTAGATTTTTACGACTTGCTTATTACCAGCCAGTATAATGTTGACTATTCTCATCGATATATTTATTATTTTTCGTATTCGTAAACAAGCAGTGATTCGACCACTTCAATTTGTTCGTGATGATAAAAATATAAAGCGACAAAAAAGTTTTCAAAAACAAATGTTTATTCTTATGCTTGCAAGTGTTTGTATTTTTCTAATTACTTCTCTGCCGTTAGCAATTTATAAAATAACATCACCACGAGAAACAAATCTATCATTCGCTATTTTTTTTATTATTACTATTTGGGCTGGTTTAGAATGGTTTCAAAGTCTCTTTTGTGCAGTAAATATAATCATTAATTTTATAATTAGATTAACATTTTTTCATTCTTTGTAGATCAATTTTTATATTCATTGTCTTAGTTCAACATTATTTCGTAAGGAATTCGAAGATATAATTAAACGTATATGGAATAGACATCAATCTCGAGTGACTGCTGTAGAATTTACAACAATAAATCAACGTACTCAAACCCATAAAGTGCCTTTGAAATATTAATCATTGATTGAAAAGAAGTTATATGAAAGAATTCAAGCATATAATATAGATTGTAATGTTTTGTTTGTAAATGATCGATGTTGTTTCAATATATATGTATATGTTTATATTTATATTATTATGTCCCTGGTTAATGATGCATTGTCAATGTCAACTGAAAAATTCCGAAAAACGGTTGGAAAGTGGAAGTACGAATTCGATGTCCAGAGTCGGTCGTCCGATACGATCATCATAATACTACTTCCAAGTTCCTACCATTTTTCGGCATGTTCCGAATAAAAGTTGCATCTTTCTTGAGAATTCTAGTTGGAGCAGTACGGAGCCGGAATCATTGATTTGGGTTTAAATATTGTCTTAAATTGTAATTTCTTATCTCAATAAACAATGCTGTAATTTATTATCTATTCATTGCTTATTTGTTTATTGAATAATAGTTGGAGTATAATTGAAACGTTGACTATTATTAGAACTTAAGGGCCTATCCTCAGAATTAGTCAATTTTGACCAAAAGAGGAAGCCGTTAAACAATGAAGTTGATCCTCGCTCGCAATTGAGTTTTTTTGAGGTACGAATATGCATGTGGATGTAGATGCAGAGATAATGCACACCCACACTGCATTTTCACCAACAATTATTTATTGCTACTATTTCAAGTCTTTTCTTTACAATTGCACAATGTAATATAGACACATAAAGATATCAGAATATCTTAACACTATTGAGTCGCATCGATTGGTGTAATTTTTTATTTTAGCACAAATCTTTTGGTTAGGAAATTTCGAAATACTGGAAAACACTTAAGCTTAGTTTTGCGTGCAAATAAATCATTTTAATTATGCGAAGTCTAAAGAGAATCCTAGAAATCTTGAAGCAATTCTAAAATGCATCGATCTCATATTCAAAAAAATCAAACTCTTTGAAACTTTGCCAAGTTAGTGTATTTTCTTAGTAATAAATAACTACAAAGTTTGAGATCTGTATCTTTTACTATGAATGAGAACTCGTAACAACATTATCATGCACTATGTTTTCAATTTTTCAATAACTAATATTCCCGAAATTTAATATAGAAATCGTTCGGTAATTTCCAATTTTCATCAATGAATAGTAAGAACTCATCAAATCAAAAGGTAGTGATCATCATAAGAAAATGTATTTTTCTGGTGATAAATATGCAAAATTCGTCTGAACTTTTGTAGTACACATAGCAGCTAGAGAACAATATAACTTAAAAAAGGATGTTTTTGTAAAATAATCGAGATCGTAAATAAAAGATGTGGGCGGCTTCCCAATACAGTTAAACATGTTTTTATCCATCAAATCGTATCATTAAATTGTGATGCAAGACTAGTCGACGTTTGGCCTATAAGAAAAGTTTGGATTACATTAAAAGAGAAATAACGAAGGTGGGAATATAATAATGTCAAAGAATTGAAAAACGACATTAAAAAAGGATGGAAGAAATTTAGTGTTTCTTTATGTCAACAAGGAATACATGAAATACTAGCACAAATAAAATAAGTACATGATCAGGACGGTAATACAATTAGTGAACAATAATGACTTAATATGTGGCTCTTTTTATTTCGAAAAATTGTATTGTGGTGAAAACAATAATTAAAATGATCAGAAAACTTTAAAAAAATTGTACACGATAGTATTGTTACAAATTTTCATTCATAGGAAAAGCTATAGACTTCAAACTGTGTGCTTATTTAGTACGAAGCAAGTACAGTAACCTATCAATGTCTCAATGAATTAGATTTTGTTAAATACGAGAACGATGCATTCTAATTTTTATTCACAACTTCTGGGGCACCCTTTATACATGTGACTAAAATATTTATCTAAAGAAAAAAAAGAAAAAGAAAAAAATACTTCGTTATACACTTTCATAAGACATCCGAGCCCAATCAAAGGATCTGACACAAGAAGACAATTGGGAAAATAAGAAACTCAATTTCGAGAGGAGATCAATTTTATTGTTGAGCGACTCTCTTTCGTCTACACTCCAATGTCGTAGTTAGAAGTGGTACTGGGGGGTGATCGATATTTTTCAGCATCAAAATGCCCAACTAAGAGCCTATAAGGTCTCTAATGGACTTCCAAACACGTTTTGTGACCATGATGGTTTCTGTTCTCAACATCCTTGATCTGCCACTGCTGCTCCCGAATTCACTATAGTTTATTAATTTTATAATGAGAATTAAGAATATTACATAGAATTTTCTAAATTCTCATGCTGCAAAAAAAAGACGCTTTTTCTAGAGACTTTGATATTAAAAGCTTTTCAAACTTCTATCTTGACTTTTGATAGTGATCGACATGTCTATCATGCATAGCGTGATATGAAAAATGACAAAATCGAATGAAGGTGTGCGTATCGGAGTATTGAAGATTGACACCTACACCTGCAACAATACAGTTTTTATTGTATTATAATCATTTGAATCATTGACTCCCATAAGCTTCTATTTATAAATTGCATAAATTCGATATATCATGGGACAAACATTACAGTAACTGAACGTCTTACCTAAGTTTTTCTTGTTGCATATTATCATTATCAGTATTTTTTTAACTCGAAAATATATACTTATCTGTTGTTAGTGTTGCTTTGAGAATTCTGCTGAACTATTTGCGTCTACAATTCGATTGACAAATTCGTGTATCTTTCATCGTGAATTATTTTTTCTTTAAATTATGTCGTTCAATTTGCTCCGCCAATCAAAAATAGTTTTGGATGAAATGTTAGAATATCTTTCTATATTGTTGCACTCCTCTAAAAATGTATTTAAACACAAACAAGTACAATAACTAAAATTAAGTTAATATTCAACTTAATTACATTCTCGATATCACGCATCCAATACAGAGACGGAGCTTATCTTAATAATGCCTTTAAATTTAGTTATAGAAGTCTTTCGATATCCATTAACATTTAATCCGCTTAAACATCATAAAGGTTTTTCTATCTAGAAAGGAAGCTCTGAAAAGTAAGCGAGACTATAGAGAGTGTTTCATAAGTCTTGGGACGCGATAAAATTCGTTTATATGGATATACTAAACAATGTCTAACCATTATGTTCCTATATCAGTTTGTAGTACTCGTGACGGTCTTTCAAATAGTATATAATTGAATAACATCTTCCCTTATAGTAATAAAAATATAAACATGATAAAGGAAAAAATGAATTTTTCGAAATCGACAAATAAGATATTTTGAAAGATTTTCTAATAAAATGTTAAGCATATTTTTATGGGAAATAGCGTAAGTATAATCAATAACTAGTTATCTTAATCGTTTGTTCGACGCTCATTACGAGCCACTAGTCACATGTTGAGTCAAGCTTATATGCTTAGTAAGTGGTCTCAAATGAATAAAATATACTTTTATCCATTTCAAAAATAATAAAAAAATAATAATACTTTTAAGCGATTGAAAATTGATATCTAAAATGCGACGATTATATCTGTTACATCCATTATTACGTCATTAATTCAAAACTTTGAAGTGACGCATAATATCACAATATCATATACTCGAATGCGAAAATTATTCTATAGAGATAAAAGTAGAGTCATAGCGTTGGTGTTGGAGATAAGGTGACTCTGTTGTAACTCTTGTGTGAGAGCTGAGCAAACATAAAGCAAATTCGACGACTACGCGGTTCGTTTTTTTTATATTTTACATGTTTTATAGAACACCATATGCATACCAACAGACCGTACGTAGAGTTTGACACTGAATTCAACAGACCAAACAAATGGTGGCGTCATCATCGAACTAAGATCATCGCCATCTCTGTTGCAGTTCTACTAATTTTGGCAATTACGCTCGCTCTGTTGTTAAAATTTGTCATTCTTGTTCCAAAAAAGCCTGACAGTATAGCCACTACTACAAATCCATCCACATCAACTTTAACTTCAACGATAACGACATCGACATTGACGACCACTATCACTACCACTCAACAATCAGGTGAGTTTTAGAGTCGCGGTCCTTCAAGTTACTAGATGCTAATTGCTGCATTAGGTATATTATAATTTAATTACCTAAGTCAATTTCAACTTAATCAATAGTGGCAGCAATAGTTAAAGTTCATTAGTTTATGAAAATAATTTTCTGATTATTTCGAAGATATTCGAATATATTTTTGACTATCAAAAATTTAGAAAATTTTGTCTAGAAAAAATACATTCACATGATTTTCTATTTAGAATGGTCTTATACCGGTAGTATGCAACATGCGCGAGATGAGCATACAGCATCCCTGTTAACGGATGGAAGAGTATTAGTTATTGGCGGATCTAACAGAGATACGTCTCTAAATAGTGCTGAATTGTATGATCCATCAATAGGAACTTGGTCAATTACTGGTAGCATGAATGACAAACGATATGGGCACACAGCATGCAAATTAATAGATGGGAAAATATTAGTTACTGGTGGATTCGATGGTGATGTTTATTTAAACAGTACTGAGTTGTATGATCCATCAACAGGACTATGGACCATTGTTAGTAGTATGAATGATGCCCGAAATTTTCATGCAGCATCTATATTAGCAAATGGAAACGTCTTAGTTACTGGTGGATTTAATGGCGATGTTGTTCTAAACACTGCTGAGTTGTATGATCCATCAACAGGGAATTGGACAATTACTGATAGTATGAATAATGCACGAGATGGACACACATCGTCCATATTAACAAACGAAAAAGTATTGGTGATCGGTGGATTTAATGGCAAGACTACTCTAGATGTTGCTGAATTGTATGATCCATTAACAGAAACATGGAAAACTACTCGTAACATGCGTAATGCGCGACATTATCTCTCAGCATCTGTTTTAAAAGATGGAAAAGTTTTAGTTACTGGTGGATATCGTGGTCATATTGCGGAATTATACGATCCATCAACAGAACTTTGGACAACTGCTGGTAATATGAGCGTTGTACGAAGTAATCATCAAGCCTCGTTGTTACGAACTGGAAAAGTATTAGTTACAGGTGGACTTCATGATAGTACTCTTCTAAATATTGCTGAATTGTATGATCCATCAACAGGAACTTGGACAAAGGGTGGTCGCATGAATAATGCACGATCTTTTCATACTGCGTCTGTATTATTATCTGGAAAAGTGTTAGTTACTGGTGGATCTGATGGAAGTGCTGCTTTAAATAGTGCTGAATTGTATGATCCATGAACAGGATCTTTGACAACCAGCGATAGTATTAATTATACATGAAATAATCACAAACCTTTCGTATTAACAAATGGAAAGATGTTCTTTTTGAGCAACATAAGACTATAAATAGTCTGTACTCAATGTAGTATAGTTTAAGAACCATTATCTAATTTTAATGAGCATTAATCGTTTCTCTCGTAATTCAGTTTTAATCAGTTTAAGTCTAATAAAAAGTGTAATTCAAGTATTCAACTATGAAGGTGAAGGATACAATCGTTCTAAGTAAAAGAGTGCACTATCGGATGTAAAATGCAACGAGTCCTTTTTGCACAAATCAGTAAAATAACGAAACAAAAAAAATAACACAGTATCAACGAATTAAGAATAAAATACCATTGAGCTGAATACCTATGGAAATCAGTGACATACAGATTGTCCTATCGATTGAATGAGTGTGGGGTGTGGGTGAAACATTCATTTACACCCACATCCACACTGAATATTCGTACTCATGCTTACATTCTCTCTATTTAAGATCGACCTAACTCATCAAAGGCATTCTATGGGGAAGAACGCCTTATCCCATCGTGTTCACCTTATCATGCCCTACAAATTGGCATAAATCCGACTGAAAACGAAATGGAGACTCACACTCATTGGTCTTCTCTCGTTATAGAATTAGCACTTCATACTAAACATTCTGATAGAAAGCCGAGCTTTTTTTTACAATTTATTTGAGCATTGTTAAATTAGTAGACTATAATGATCTATCTTTATCACAAATCTGCAACAACACAATTTTCTATTTTTAAAATTGCATACATTCAATATATCGTCAAAACATTGAACTTTCTTAACCTTTTTCCTTTCTTCTATCTTATTAGTATTTCTTATCTCGAAAATAACTATCAGTTATTAGGATTGCTTTCAGAGCTATGCTGAACTATTTACATTTGAAATTCGATTGACAAACTCGAATCTCTTTCATGGTAAATTATTTTTTCTTAAAACCATACGACGCAATATGATCTACCAATCAAAAAGAATTCTGAACAAATTTCTAGAACATTTTTCTATTTTGTTGCACTCTGGTAAAAAGTACTTAAACACAAGCAAGTGCAATAACTCCAATTAATCTAACATTCAACTTACTCATCTTCTCAATATAACATGATGAATGATAACACGAAGTTTATCTTCAAAGTTGCTTATATTCTTTATTTATAGAAATTTTTTCATATCAATTAACATATAATCTACTTTACATGCTAGCAGCTTTTCTATCCAGGGAAGAAGTTACTGAAACAAATACGATGCTATAAATTTATATTCATTTAATCTTCATTTATTCTTCAATATGTTCATTATGAGTACAACAACAACACCTATAATATCTAATACAAAGACAATAACGATATTATCTCAAGAACAATTATTTCTACTTTTTAAAAATCCAGTTTTGGTTATTCGATTCTATCAAATTGGTTATTTGTTTACATTTCTACTTGGTTTTCCTGGTAATATAGCTAGTTTATTTACATTCTCACAACCAACATTACGAAAAATATCAACTGGTTGTCTTTTTATTACTTTGGCTATTTCAGATACATTATATTTACTTATATGTATCTTTGATTTTTTAGAATTTGGTTTACAAGTAATAAGAATTCATTTCTAGAGAGCAAAAAAATTCTTTTTCTTTTTGTGAATAGATTCGTTTCTATCATTATGTTGCATATGATGAACTTTGTCGATTTCGTTCATTTATAATGAATGTAGCTCAAGTTTCATCAGCATGGATATTAGTAATAGTTTCTATTGATCGATGGATTCGAACACGATTTCCATTTAAATCAGGTTCAATATGTACACCAAAAAAAGCTTTGATTGCTGTGGGTGTATTACTGGTGGCAGATATTGCTATTCATGCTCATATATTAACACCTATGTTTGGAATATTTATACCTGGTTTTTCAATCGTAGCATGTGGACCCACTCTAACAAACATGCCATACTTTCAGTTCTACTTTATGACATGGAGTATAGTTCAAGTAAGTAGAAATAAAAATAATCAAAGATAATTCTCTTGCTCTTGTAGTAATTTAAGATTAGTGAAGTGTATGTTCTCAATTGGGACGAGCTTTTTAGCTTTTTGCGTTTTCACTCTATTATTTCGTTAAACATCAAGCGAACGAGCTCAAATTTACCTACCAGGTAGATACATGTCATTTCTTTCTATTCGTGAAACAACTTTTAAAAAAAATTTAGAAATAATCCAATCATAAGTAGTAGAATGAAATCAATTAATCATGTCCTAAATAAGTGCAATTTTTCCAATAGAAATGCCAATACAAAAATTACACCAAATTAGAATGTATCAAGGTTACTGTATATAAAAATTTCTTCTGTATATTAAACTTGAAACGTTCTAATTTGGTGCAGCTTTTGTATTGGCATTCTTATTGAGAAAATTGCACTTATTTAGCATATGATTAATTCATTTTATTCTACTACTTATAACTGGATTATTTCGAAGTTAAAAGAAAATTGTTTCACAAATAGAAAGATATGACATGTATCGACTTCATCGGCAAATTTGAGCTGATTCGCTGAATTTTTCATCAAGATAATATAGTTAAAACACAAAGATATAAAAAGCGCATTCTAATTGGGAGTATGCACTCTAGTCAATTCATTATATGCTATCAAAATATATTTATAATCTTTTTGTTAATCATGAATGTTTTCTTTGCACTTGCTGACAACCTAATGATTCTTTAATCTAGGATTACTTTTTACTATAACTACGAAAATAATTGCTAATATGATTTAACTTATAATTTATATGTATTCTTATTGGAATTTTCCTTTTACTCAATAAAAGAAAAACTTCATGACACTTGTCATTTAGATCTTTACTACTTGCTTAGTACCTGCTGCTATAATGTTGGTTATTCTCATCGATATATTTATTATTGTTCGTGCTCGTAAACGAGTGGCTATTCGACCAGTTCAATTCACTTGTTGTAATAAAAATATGAAACAACAAAACATTCTTCAAAAACAAATATTTATTCTTATGCTTGCAAGTATTTGTATTTTTCTGATTACTTGTCTTCCGTTGGCGATATATAGAGTACAATCACCGCGACAAGGAGCTATGTCACTTACTATTTTTCAGATAGTTTCGATTTGGGCAAGCTTAGGATGGTTTCAAAGTCTTTTTCATGCAGTAAATATTATTATTATTATTAATTTAAAAGCGAGGTCAACATTTTTGTGCATTATATTTTTAGGTCAGTTTTTATATTCATTGTCTTAGTTCAACATTTTTTCGTAAACAATTCAAAGAAAGAATTAAACGAATATTGAATGGACGTCGACCTCCAGTGATTCTTATGGAATCAACTGCAACAGTTCAACGAATTCAGCCCCGTGAAGCGCTGACGAAATATTAATCAATTATTAAAAAAAAAGTTCTATAAAAATATTCAAGCATATAATATACTTTGTACGTTTTGTTTGTAAAAAATCGATGTTGTTTATCAATATATATATTTGTATATTGTTACTTCCCAGGAGAATGATGTACAGCTAGTTGCGCACGAAAGTTTACGAAATTTGGTCGAAAACTGAAAGCAGAAATAAAATGTTCAGATCCACTGGCTAGGTTTTCGTGGTAGATAGCCAGCCATCAGATACAATCGTCATAATACTATTTTCAAATTCCTACCATTTTCCAATGTCTTTCTTGCAAGTTGAAGTCGAAACATTACAGAGTCAGAGTTCCGCATCGTTGTCTTGGGTTTGAATATTGTCTTAAACTGAAATTTATTATCTTAATAAACTATGCTGTAATTTATTTTCTATTTATTACTTATTTGTCTATTAAATAACAGTTCAAATATCATACAAACGTTTCCTGTTTTCGAACTTAGATATGAATGCGTCATAGAACTACTCCAGGGCGTCGGAGAATTGACAATATCTCATAAGTGGCTTGATTGTTTGAGCTCGGAGACATCTCATGAGGTAGAGACCAATGTAAGCTACAAATTCATTTTATCTCAGTGATCAACATATCGAGTAAAGAAAACACTATGCGTCAAAAAGCCTGCAATACTCGTGGAATTGGCTCTTTTAGGATAGCAATATTTTGGAGTTATTTTGAGCAGTACAAGAGAATCTACGGTTATTTTTTTTCGGAGATAGAACTCGTCAAAAGACATGTTGTAACATTAGTTTGTCTATCCTCAAAAAGTGGAGAAGGCCAAGCAATTATGAATCTTACTGTGGTTGATCCCACCGTGATCATTGATTCTGCGATGATAAATAACACGATATCGTTCCAAACTGAAAATCTGACTTGCGATACGCGTTCAGCGCACGAAATTGCATTGAATAATTTACTTTACACTAATTTTCTATTTGTATTTAGCGCGATCAAGAACTTGGGTGCACCTCATGGATGTATGAAAGATAAAAGTGATATTGTTTACATAGTAATTCATCAATGTTGCTACATGCCATGTTCGAGTTTTTACCATTCAATAGTCATTTTCGAATGCTACATACTAATGTAGTTTTTCAACTCAAAATACACGTATGAATTGATAAATGTCCAGATGTATAATTCTCGGGAAACAGCTCATCACTTTTTTTAACAGATTCCTAGTGAATTTTCGTTCGAAAACAATAATTCGAAACAAAACTTGATATCATACTCGAAATCAACAATAAAAACTGCATCGATTTTTTACAAACAAAATGTACAAAGTATATTATATGCTTGAA